AGTTCCTGCCTGGCTTGAATGCAGCTCGTCCCATCGTCATTGTCCCTGCAAACATCTCTACCCACCATCTCACACGTTGCAGGGCTCACACAGGGAGAGGGGGAAGAGCTTGGCCAGTGTCTGTCAGCCTGAAAGGGGAACTTGCTCTTCTAAAAGAAAAAAAAATGCATTGGTGCTCAGAAATGAGTAGCCATGCTGATTTTGCTATATGCTCAAGGAGTACTTTGCTAAATACTCAGAGCATTGGAAGACATGTAGGAAAGAAGAAAGAAGTTTGAAATACAGCAGGAAAAAAGCTAAAAGATAGAAGGTATCACCCCTACGACCACTTAGCACTACATGCTGAGCGGGCCTCTACCAGGTCCCCTAATTCCTTGCTGTGTGAAGGCTTCGCTGCCACACACTTTATATTTTTGTTTAACTGGGATAGCACACTGCTCAGTCCTTGATCTTCCAGCACTAAATCTCTACTTCGTCCTGGAGGAATGACCTCAAGACAAGGAGGGGTGACAATATACACTTGACCTGTCCAGCCGCCTGGGACAGAGTCTCAGCAGGTCTCTGACATGGTGCAAAGCCATGCGTTGAGCGTGACCTTAAAGCAAAGGCTTTATGTGGCTCTGAATTGCAGACTGAAGCATTGTCCTGGACAGAAAAATACCTGCACTCCCCCACTCCACCAGCTGGACTCGCAGGGAACATACGGAAATAGCATCAAGAGTGGCTGATGTTGATCTGACCAAGGCCATGGAGAAATGTGACACTGGGGTAGGGCTGTATCTCTGCGAAGTGATGAGCTGACACCAGCTGGGGAGCCTGAGCAGGATTCGTGCTGCAAAACAATCACCCCTACAGAGGATCGCTCTCGTTTCATAACAACGAAGCTGAGCGTTTGGAGCAGGGAAGGTCTGAAGTGAAGCCCTATGAATCTTTAAGGGCAGAGCAGAAGTGTGACCTGTTTCCTCACCAAAATTCCCACTGCTAAAACTCTCTGCCGTCTGCTTTTCCTAATCTCCAGCACGCTTGAAAAGCCTCCCTACCGCTTCCACCTCTTGCAGCCTCTGTCCAGCCCCACTGTCACAACATCAGCTCATCCTCTTTTAACCTAGCACCAAATATCTACTCCACAAATATTCCCAGAATTCCCACTCAAAAAATCTCTATTCCATAAAATATTCCATAGTTCTGTAAAATGCAAGAATAGCTCAGGGAGGAGCCAGTCATTCCTTCTTCTCAGCTAACAGGGCAGGTAGTCAGTGATGGTTTGCAAGCTGGCCCCCAGTGCTGTGCTGCTTTAATATGAAGGAAAATGGTCAAGGCTGTGTTGTCCAAGCCCCGTGCTATGGTTTGGGTTCGCTTTTATGCTTTGCGTGTGAGCTTTAGGTTTCCTTCTATCAGTAAGTTGGTGAGGGACAAGCACACGCAAAAAGGGGGTGTGGGTTTGGGAATCCTGAAAGCAAAATCTTGG